AGTGGACCTGACTGACAAAACGTTTTGGTGATGGTGTTGATGACGGCATTGAAGTGATTCTGATAAGAACAACCGCTACACCCCGCCACTGATAAGCACCGGCCCGGGGATGTTCCATCGCCGCAATCTCCCGCGACTGTAGGCCATTTCGTCACGAAACGCGACCAAGAAAAGCTTCACTTAAGCACCATACACGAATTAGACACGTTATCACACCCTCAAGCCGTAATCGATTCGCAATCCTCCCGCATTTCGCGCAAATCCGTTCTCTCGAACATATCAACTTCATCTCCCAAGACTGTGCACATTGTCCTTGCACAGTCGCCCGCCACCTGCCCACGACCTCCCGTTCCACAGCTTTATGCAACATTGGCCGACAGAGTCTTCAGAAACGCAACATCAACAAGATAACCCCTCGGACACCACTACCTCAGTCCAGCATGGCTTTTGTTCGCGCCAGCAGCCCAACGGCGTCGCTGTCCTTCGCCGCGAAGAGACAGGCAGTGCATCTCCAAGATCTGTTCCAGACGGAGGGCGCCGTGACTCATTCGACGCCGTCAGCGCCGCCCAGCTCGACGAGAAGCTTCGCCGGCTGAGTGTTGACGATTCAGCTTCTGTTGATAGCCATTCAGCCGTCGCTGGTCAGCGAGTGATTGATTACGAAAATGCGCAAACCCCGTCGACTCCCCGTCAAGCTTTGGGCTTCAAGGTCATCAAGCGATCTGAGAATCGACCCGATAGCGTGCAGTTGACAGACTTTCCAAATGGTATGCAGGACAAGACAGAGGATCGCAGTTGAACCCCCGCTAACGCTATGGTTGTAGAGTTGTTGACCCACGTCCTATCTCACCTACATCCCGATTCGCACTCGGCGATAGCTTTGGTGTCGAAGCGTTTCTACTCGCTCGTTACGACGCCCCATGCGTGGCGAATGGCCTTTTTACGATTCTTCCCGGGTCACGATAGTCTGGCTACAAAATCTGGCGAGCAGAATCGCGCAGGGCCCTTGGACCATGACTCTTTCGAATTCGTTCGCTCAGAGTCCCGCTACTTTTCTCGCTTGACTTCTCTTGCGACGTGGCGAAGTGAATATCTCCTACGAACCCGTCTTTTGAGGGGCCTCATCAGAGGTAAACCAGGTGCTAAGCCTGGCGGCATTGGAGCATCTGGCCGAAGCAGCAAGAAGACAAGCGCTGTCTTGACCTACAACTCGAAGCTGCCCTGGGCTGTGACCCACATCCATGCCGACTTCACTGTCAAGAAGGCTCCCCGGGTTATTCACGGCACTGCCGACCTTGGTGCCGCGACCTTGAGTGATTCTTTTATTGGCAAGGTGGAGAAATGGGGATTCCGAGACCCTTTCACTATTCTACAGCTGGACGAGGTGTTTCCCAATCTTGAGCCATATGGTGCTGGCGATGGACCCGCCGCTTGCCCAAACGTCATGGATGTCAGCCAGCCCTATGGCATGCTCTCCGGCGAAGGCTTTCCAGGCGGACGTGCCTACTACCGCCCGATCAATGAGATGCATGGTCGGTATCTTGGTAGCGACACTGGCGTAATCGACACCTACCCCGATATTCCCAAGATCCCTGAACTATCAGAAGCGATTTCGGCCGTTTGGGTTGCTAAATCCACTGCTGTACCCAACATTACGCACTCCACGGTCGGGATCATCACCGGCTCAACTCTCGGAATCGTCACTACGTATGCGCTCCACGGAGACGGAAGTGGCCCGCGGCATCCCAACGGCGAGATGACAGCGCGATGGGTGCTCAGCCCCGGTGTTCCGATCGTCTCAATCAAAGTCGACGATCAGTATACCCAGAAGCGCAAGACTGCCCAGCGCGTATGGGCTGTGGCTCTTAATGCCCTGGGAGAGGTGTTCTACCTGGTCGACGTGCCGAAGACAAGTCTGGAGCGATCTAAAGGCGAAGATGTCACCAAGAACGCATGGTTCGCCGGACGCTCAGTCTACTGGCGGCTCATCGACGACTCCCGTCGCCAGGCTCGGCCCGATGAGTTCGACAAGCATGCTCTCCGAGGTGCTTATTCGCCTCGATCTCCCGCAGACGCGATGAACTTGAGTAAAGAGCAACTCGTCGCGGAAGCCCGTGAGATTGAAAAATTCCTCCGTTACAAGCCGTCACATTTCCGGAAGGTCTGTGATGGCTGGGACATGCGAAGAAGACTGGAGGTCGACTTTGCGAACGATGACGCCGGCGGCGCCGGGGAGGTCATTGTCTCTATTCATTGCGGGCTGGAGGAGACACATCCCCCGAGCGTCACTCGCTATGCCCGAGCCATGTCCCAAACGCCGCGACAGACTCCAGACACTGTGGAAGATGCTGCTGCAGTCTATCAGGATGTCCCTCCAGTGCAGCAGTCAATATTTGGATCGGGAAGAGACTACAAGCATGAGTCTCAGTCCCAGCCCAAGCCTACCAAGGCTGTGGTTAAGGGCGATGTGACACCCATCTCGTCCGGCTCGCTAACGCCCCAGGCAAAGCTCAATTCCATGGATGAATGGGCCGTTGCTACAATGTCACTCGGCAACTATGGAGGTTCAGAGATCACTGCGTCGGCTCTTGATTTGTCGTCACACGCACTTCTCACATTAACGGAAGACCCTCTGCAATTTGGGTCCAGACCTGCTGCCACTCCTACAATGACACCACAGACTGCCGAATCGTCGACAGAAATTCCTGGTCGGCGAACCCGTATGCTGGCTGTCGGAACCAAGGACGGATCAGTTGTTGTCTGGAACTGTCGCGAGCAGCGCAGTATGTCCACCATCTCCCCTCTTCGCATCATTCAAACAGAGTCTCCCGAGATCAGTTGCCTGGCCTTGACGGCTTTGTATCTGGTACACGGCGGAAATGATGGCTTGGTACAAGCATGGGACCCGCTGGCATCTTCGCTCGAGCCGCTCCGTACACTCAATGGACGTTCCAACGGTCGAGTACCCCGTCACATGATGACGATGAACCCTGCGCTCCCGATCGATACATACTCAGCTGCTCGAGCCATCTACCTCGACCCTGATCCTACTGTGTTGCGTGGTATTACGTCTTTCGGGGCCTTCCTGCGTTACTGGTCTTACAGCGCCACTCACCAGCCGCCTGGTCGTAAACGTCGGCTTCGACACGCCGATGTTCACGGCCGCCTTGCTACTAGGCGCCAGGGCGGGAATGTTTCTGGCTACATTGCCGCAGAGACTGCAGAGCTTCGGCGAGAGGAGGAACAGGACATTAAAGAAGAAGCCTGGTTGCGCAACAGATTTGGCGTTGGCGCTTTTGGCGACTTGACCGAGGAGGAGGCTCTCCAATATGCGGAAATGATATCCCAGGAGACACTGCTGCTCGAGGAGCAGCGTCGCACTAGCGCCAGCGACACTGGTTCTGCCGCCGATGCTAGCTTCGACACGGTATCGTCCTTCAGCGAAAGTACTGTGGACACAGTTACACCGGAGCCCAGTATTACTGGCTTTACCCCCCCGCCTCCCGTCGTTGAGGAAGAAGACGAGTACGAACAGCAGCTCCAGCAAGCTCTTCGACTTTCTCTGATGGAGGCTACCGACGATGTGGCTCAGTCTCCTCGCAAGAACAGCTCCAGTGATTTCGAGTTTGCCATCAAGTACAAGTCCAAACCGGCGAAGAAGACGACAAAGAGAACACCCTCCATGTCTCCCCCAGCAACTTACAAGCCTGTCGCTGGCGCCAAAGCAGGTTCTTCCAGCAAAGCCACGCCTAGGGACGACGACCTTGAGTTGGCTCTCTTGCTCAGTAGTGCTGGATCCGCGAGCCACCCTGCACCACGAGACGATGATTTGGAGCTGGCTTTGCGGCTGAGTCTGCAAGAGAATGGTGCCGGCGATTTCTCTGGCCTCGGTATCCAGCAGGAGCAAGAGGAGTTTCCCATGCTGGAGACTCGCGGGAAGGGCAAGGGCAAGATGTAAAGGCGGCAGTGCCTGTTCGCCGCCATGGTTCAGTTGTCTGATTTGATTGTTATTTTTGTACTCTGCCATTCTGTCTCCTGCTCGACTGCGGATAATGCTTCTGATACACTTCTTCTTCATCGCACGCGGGGTTTAGACTCGACGCTTTGAGCCACTGGCATATTTACCTTAGGGTACTCTCAATCGAGAGTCGTTGAAATATACACTTTGAACTGCGTTAAACCAAATTCGCCTACTTGTAGGCACAAGGTTTGCCACCAATTGCTGACGGGATCTGCTTGTAAAGGGATGACACATTCGCATTAACAAGTATAGGAGTATTCCCCAGTGCAGACACAATCTCAATGCAAGCGATGACCACCTGCCACAGGATCTCCTTCGCCGGCCTGGCTAACCAGAGCCCATAGAAACAAGGTGCATGCCACATGCCCCCATCGCCGTGGTCTCATTCTAAGTGTACGCAGCGAAGCCTTGTATGCCCTGTGTGTCTAGATCTCTCCACAACAGGCTGTTCTCGCCTACCCTCACGACACCATCATCGACCCAGCAATGACTAACCTCTTCTTGCCCATGTGCCAATCGAGAAGTCAACTCGCACGCGCGGGAGTAGCTATACGGCATCTCGTTTTGACTGCAAGTGATCTCAGTTCCTGTTACTGCTCCTTGATCCGGTGCCTTTCCGCTCGCAGGCCATGTCTAGCGGGCGGGAGACCCCGAGTATCTAGGCGATGCCTAGCGGCGGTCTGCAGCTAGAAGGACGGAGATGTATATCTTCAGTGGTTACCCAGAGATGAAACTTCTCAGCAGTCGATTCTCATCCCGATGACGAGTGACTTCGACTCATTTGCAGATCCCGAGGTATGATGTGAGGGATCCGGCATGATGTTGCAGCTCCCGAGTCGAGTATGATTCCTCGCCTCGATGACTTCTTCGTTGAAGTGTTAGCTTCTCCTTCTGATACATCCTGTCTATTTGTTGTACAGAATAACATTCAAGCCAAACGCCGCGTCTGTGAAGGCTTTTCAATGCCTGCCAGCCCAACATGCGTCAAGGCGGAGTTAGTCTCAACAAATGGATGGTGGCATTGCTGTGACGCTCGTCACAATCTACGTCAAAACCTCACCGCAACTCGCAAGTCCTTTGACATCTGCGGCGGCTTCAACGCCCTCCAAGCCCTCAAGGACGACGGCGCGTCTGCAAACCAGGCCGAGGCCGTCGCCAAAGCTATCATGAGGCATCAGGACATGAGCGCCAACGGTGCCATCACCTACATCGATCAGCCGATTCATTTCGCGACGCTGTACAATAACCTTTGTAGGCACTCGCGTGTGAGTGAGAGACTGATTCGTAGGAAGACGCGAAGGGAGGTCAATGAGGCGTGGCCGAGACTTGGGTGGTGTCATTAGTTTGCTGGGACTGGGAAGAGGAAGGAGGGCATGAGGGCTCGGTTCCATTTTACGCATATTGTTGATTTTGATAAAAAGACTAGAGGAACACCCTGATGAGGGAGTGGGATTGGGGAACGCGGTCATCAGGCGTGTTCGGTCAAGCTGGTGAAGACCGTCCAAATAGTGCCTTGAACAGCTGTCTTTCGAGATGAACCATGATGTTGCTGTAGGTTCGGATTGTCCGGGAACCGATTTCAGTCGCATGAAGGAGTTGTATGTCAAAAGGTCCATTAAGACTTAACTATTCACCAAGTTGCTTGTTCACTGAGCCGGTGCAGCCCATCTCAATGTGTGTAAATCCTGGCGACAACATATTTTTAGCCCTCCTGGAAAGAAACACAAGACACCCACACTTGTGAGTGAATGAATGCTCCAGACCCATGAGGCAAAGGCCTACGGGCGGGTGGTTCCTATTCAGATTCAATGTTTGTGCCATTTACGTAGATTTTATCTCCTGATTGTGGGCTCACTTTTCACTTTGAGATAAAGAACTCAACTCAGCCAAGTTGGTGGCTGTCGGGATGTTGACCATGAATAGTCGCTTATGCGCCTGCCTTACTGACGGTTTAACCGCCACAACGCAATACTAGACCACTTGCCGATGATGGACGATGGAACACCCATGTTGGCCGGGGCGGGTCAAGGCCAGCTGGTTCGCGATGCAATCACCAGAGAAAACCAGGGCAACGGATTTTCATCGCTATTGCAAGAAAGCCCAAACTTCCCAACACCTCTCTTTATTCTGTTCGAAAGATCAAGATATCACTGTTCGTATACCGATCTCGATATCGGATTAAGCCTCCTCATTCTGCTCACCCACGAGGCCATTATGCGACGTTCCAGATCCCTAGCCAACGGCTACAAAAGGCCAGAGCTCATCTGCATCCTCATCGTCTTCCGTTATGTATTATCCCAGAAACGAAATAAATCACTTGCCTCGAAACACCTAGACAACGACCAGTTTCCTAAAAAACTGCACTAGCTGCTATAACACCCTACACCTACTCCAAACTTGGATTCCACCACCTTCCGCTCGGCTTAGCTGCAACCCCAAGCGATTTCAGACACCAGAAGAAGCTACGATAAGACTACGTTCCCCGCAGCCAAAAGACGCGCTACTGTCAAACGGAAAGGAACAGCAGGTCAACCCATCAATTAAGCTAGCAGCCGCAAAACTCGACAAGCAATATGTCAGCTACGGATGACGAGACGCATCGCGAGGTCAAAAGAATCATGACACAGAAAGGCGGTCCAAGCGAACTGTATGAATGGACGCTAATTAATGAATGGTACAGGAAGAAGGATTATAAGAGTTACAACAAAGCGCTCGCATGCGATGTCCAAGAAACCAAAAGGAAGATAGAAGCGCTACTACTCAAGAAAGAGAACGCCGCAAAAAGTCAGGGGGAAGGAAGTAATCAAAAAGATGACAAGTGAAGGGGGACAGCAGGGAAGTCGTTCGCTACGGAGACTATCATGGCTATGCTCGCTGCTCAGCATGTGCCTGAATTGTCATGTAACGGACAACCTGAACCTGGTTTGACACAGGATCTAGTCGTGTTGTTTCAAAGAACGAGGTGACAAAGTGAACGCTATAAAATGGGATTTCAAAGCATTTGATATCGAAGGGGCGTATATCTCAGCAACCAAATGTTATGGTCAGGTGGGAATTGCTCGGAGTAGTCCCTCACAGCGGCTTTGTAGTTTTCTTCAGGGTCCTGTAGTTAGTAAAATTAGTCAGTCAAGAACCTTCGAGAGAAAAAAAACAGAAAAGGAAAAGAAAAAGCATTATTCTTAGAGTTACTTGCCTAATGCCGAAGAAAAAGCCCCAAGCCCTGCTTAAGAAGGCGCGTGAAGACTTGGAAGACCAAGTCGCTGTAATGCCAGAGCTTGAGGAGACAAGGTCGGGTGCGGGACCATTTGCTTAGTGACCATGCCGTCACCTTATACCCGCTACACCCAAGCCATTCTGTAAATAATCAACCCAGATCATCGGCGAGGGATGGCAGAGACATAGCAAAGGTATAGAGTAGGTGACGGGAGTAATGCTTCAAAGGCGTGATTGGGTCATGTCGTTTCCAATATTGCCACGATTGGGCGAGCGAGAAGCCGAAAATCATACTTATACTGTTGGACATAATGTATTACAGGGGGAAGGAGATGTGTGGCCCAATGAGGCCATCAAAGGCGCCGGAAAAGATCAATATTGTGGTTCTATTTCTGCGTTAAGAAGGGGACAGGAATTCGGCGAGAAGGCCTTGATGTATGAATCTCAGGTTATTTAAAAGTGACAAAATCTCAACTATAGGACACACCATTTGTTCCCTGTCTGTTCCAATACTCGCTGTATTCTATACCTCTAGAATATGCCTGGTAATCAGGGGCTTCTCGTCGTAATCATCCGCATGTGGTGGTTTGAAGAGGCGGTCGATAGACCAAGAGCATCGTCGTAATATCACCGATCTGAACGATAAGCCGTTGCTGGCGTCTACTTACATCTCCCATCATACGAAGCTCGGGGATTCGGAACCATGGAACTGATGATACCAGCTGCGGAATGCTGGGCATATCGACGAGGGCGTCGTTGTGCCGGCAAGGGCTTGGGCATATCATTGGTAGTGTGATACCAAAACAAGGCACTTCATTACTGCGGTGGTGCCGAGATACCGTGCATACCGAGCACGCTGGTGTAGATTCCATGTCGTCGTGATGTCGGGGCTGTCGGTCTTCGCCGACTCCGTGATGCCGTATGTGTCGCAGAGGGGTCTGACGCCTAAGGGTCAACAGAGGTTCATCACTACCCTACCACGTCTCGTCGTGACGGCTTCTGATAAGGACGATGTCTAGTGTTAAGGTAGAGAACTTAGATTTCTCATTGATATGTAGAGCAAGGAACGGGATTAGATTTGTCATTCAGGTTCCAGAATCGTCCTTTCTGGTCGCCATACTTCGCAACCGATGAGTGACCCCTTACTACGTACACGATTAGCGCTGATCTATCGATACAAGTTCATGCTGTTCAAAAACAGAGTTCAGTCGTAACAGAAGGCGCCTGGCAATAATTCAGAAGGGGGTGGGGGGTGTCACACATTCAGAAACACATGCTCACCAAGCTGCATTTCCACCGCCCTGGCCCGGGCCACCTCAGTACCAATCTACAAATCTCAGCGAGAATCTATTTCTCTTTCCCTAGTTGTACTAGAAGTAACGCAATTATACGAGGCTCCAGAGGATGACTTCAGACTCACGAGACAAATGACTTCGTTCGCCAGGAGGACGGTTCGGTGCAATTTGAATACCTGTCTCCTTGGCAAGTTCGCGGCTGTCGGAAGCTGACCGTGGTCAGTCGCTCAGGCGCTACGCTGCTGCAGCGTAAAACTAGACTACTTGGTGGTGATGAGTGTTGGCGGTTTGGTTTTCATAGGTCTTTGTTTGGGTAAAAGCTAGTCCATTGAATGGCCACGATTCGCCGACATAAACCCTAAGCAAACAGCCACACCAAACATATCCCATACTGGGTTTGAGGGCGACCCTTGCCTTCCTCCTTTCCTTCAGTCTTTCATCACTATTCATCAACCCAGTTCGTCGTTGCTACTGCTGTACGACAAGTCCGCAGTAGACCTCTCTCTTTCTTCCCATGTCTGCAGGCCTTTTCGCGGGCCAAGAGACTGAACATCTTCGAGGAAACAGAGACAGGGGTACGACATGCGCTTTATCAAGCTATCTGGACCACAAGCGAGATGTGGGTTGGACACAGTCAAGGTGTCGCATCGTGGAAGATGAGACTGGGGCAATTCTGAGCGTATCCAACTTGTCCTATTGAGAATTTGCCATGATTGCGTTCCCATAAACTGATCCTTATTAGCATAACTCACTCATCCATATTCCTTGCAGAAGAGCAACAGGAAAAGATGTTAAGGGCCGCATGATAAAAGATCTTGGATGCTCAGTAAAGAGAGTCTGCGTTCTACTGTGAAATAGTGATAAGAAAATGGCAACATGACGGCGGCATAGGCTATGCGACTGGCCTTGCCACCTACTTTCACTTCGAAGGGCCCGATGGGCCTCGCTTTCTTTTCCTGTCTACAGCCCAATCACCCATTTCAACACACAATTACTGAGCTTCGCATCAGCCGGACGGCTATGCCCTGCTGACCTGTATGGCAATAGTTTTATTCAAAGATTAAGTTTCTTTCTTGATTCACCAAATTCACCAAGACCTTCTCTACCAGGCTGAAGCCTTGGGGCCTAGGTGGATGTCGTGTAGGCAAAGTACACTGTTAAGGCGGAAGAACATGCCTGTGGCAGTCGAAGACCTTCGTCATGAATACCCGCCAGACATCTTGCTGGCAATGTATTTCCAGCTCTAATCCTGACGTTGCTCACTGACAAAGGAAGTTCCCCTTCCACCTTCCGTTGGGCGAACGATGGCTAGGAATGACCCCGCCCCGCCCCCTTTTTTTTTCACGATTTTCTATTCAGCCTTTGAAAGATTCCATTTGCCACTGTTCATCGAGTCACCTGGCGATGCCACCATTGTCTTCCAAGTCAGCTATTCAGCTTCACCAAAGCAGCCGCCACGTCTCGTCCCAGGCCCTAGGCATTCCGGCCATAAAAGCCTATGAATTGCCTGCTACCATGTGTTATTCACTGGAATTCTACCCCATACACTTTGGATTCCTTGCATCAAATCATCTATGAATCGTTGGTGGATCTGCACGTACGCCGGAAGGACACCTGCTAATGAATCTCTATAGTTCAGCACCACAGCTTGCTCGACTACGAGAAATAACGACAAAAAGCAAAAGCCAACCAAAGCTAGCAACCTTGTCATTGCCAACAGAAAAGGATCAAGCGTCTCCCTTCACCAGAATCAGCCTTCTGAAACCTTGATAATCACTCGAGCGACAAAAGCATGGCTGGAGACGGAAACTCTTCCGCTGAGGGAGCCGAGGGACATGATTCTTCCCGTGAAAGGACTGAGCGATTGGAAAAGGCTCTGGTCCAACATGAAAAGCGCCTTGGCATAGTACGAGACCCGACGAAACCAAAGGAACAAGGAGAGAGATTAGATGAGGTGCTACAGTTATTGAGAGCCAAGGATTCCGAAGCCGCCAAACAAAAGGATCTAGAGACAAAAGAGGCCTTTAAGAAACTTGAAAGACTCTGCAGAGAAGGGAAATGAGCCCGTGTACTCACTCGGTGGCAAGCGGACGTTTTCACATGCGAATTGGTGTTGAGATCACTCAGCCAGCCCACTGCTCTTCAGCACATACCCAAGTCGCCTTGATGGCATGCGACCTGAGCCGCCAGCCAGAGGTGTCGAACGCGGTCACACTTTTCTCTTATGGGATTCTTATGAATTGGAGGGTACTGTATGCGCTGCGTGTGCGCATATCAAATTATTTGGACTTCTATAGTCCATCGTGAATAGTTAGTGTTGCCTTGGATCAGTCTCTTCAACAACACAACACGGTCTTTACCTCCACCAAAGAACTAAATCAAGTCAGTAAATAGTATACTTTACTGAGAAGAAACCCCCCAAAAAAACAATTATCATTATCAAAGTTTTGTTCATTAAAAACTCCTCTGGATTTTGACGTCCCGTTGTATCACCTCGGCAGGAGTGGACGTGGAAGTGGGGGCAAACAACATCGTGAACCACCAAAATGGAATGCTTCAAAGCGCATCAACCAAAAAACATACAACACCAAGTATTCGCTGGTCGTCACCGACCCAACTACTAATCCGGCCCTCATTGGCTTATCTATGGGAGAGCGGACGGGATCCCGAGTTTTCCAATGGGTATGGTCGTATGTGGTAGTTTATTGAGTGCAAGTTGATTATCATCTGGTGGTTCTCCGGAATGGGTCTGGGGATCAGCACCGGCGCCTCAAGTCGCGCCCTCTATGCATCTTGAGGGCTTCTACATGGAGAATATACTTTCCTGGTATGATATAACACAAGAAATAATGGTCTTGT